TTTTTAAAATTCTTTAATAACTGTCCAAGAAGGGAACAGGCTCTCTGGCAGGACAAGAGTCCCTATTACTTGACTTGTTAATACAGGGGCTAAATGACCTCACGGTAGGTTTTGTAATAGAGGTGCATGAAGTGATTGGTTACTTTTTGTGGACCTTTCTGTGTCTTCTGTTACCCTTGTAGGGACAGCAAAACTCCACTGCCATCACCTTAGGGTCCTGGCTGGGTCTGAGAATTATTATTATTTTTTTTTTTGAGACAGAGTCTCACTCTGTCACCAGGCTGTGGTACAGTGGCATCAACCTAGCTCACAGCAACCTCAAATTCCTGGGCTCAAGCCATCCTCCTTCCTCAGCCTCCCAAGTAGCTGGGACTACAGGCACACAACATCACACCTGGCTAATTTTTACTATTTTTAGTAGAGATGGGGTCTCGCTCTTGCTCAGGCTCATCCCGAACTCCTGAGCTCAAGCGATTCTCCTACCTCAGCTTCCCAGAGTGCTAGGATTACAGGCGTGGGCCACAAGCGCCGCCAGGGTCTGAGAATTAAATTGGCACAAAATAGATTAACAGGAGAAAAGCATACAAATTTATTTAATATGTTTTACATGACACAGGAGTCCTCACAAGGAAATGAAGTTACAAAGAAACAGTTAGTTATATATTGAATTGGACAAAGAATAGTAAGTTGTGAAGAAGCAACTAAATTATGTGGGAAGGCTTAAAACATGAGTTATTTTAACAAGGTCTGTTCAGATTCTTTTGGTCTAGACTTCTTGTCCTTGAGGATAAAGATGTTATTTTTCTTCTATAGGAAGAACATCTTTCACATGGGATTTTCATTTCCTGTTTTTAAGAAACAGCGTGAAGATCAGAGTGATCTTGTATCTGATGTTTCTCAAGTGCCTTTAACTTAAATAGTCAATATACCAGGATGGTATATTTTTAACTTTTTTTTTTTTGAGACAGGGTGTCATTCTGTCACCCAGGCTGGAGTGCAGTGGTGCCATCATACCTCACAGCGACCTCAACTCCCTGGGCTCAGGCCATCCTCCTCCCTTAGCCTCCTGAGTAGCTGGGACTACAGGCGTGCACCACCATGCCTGGCTCTTGTTCAGGCTGGTTATTTTTAACTTTTTCACCCTATTCTTAAAATTATTTTTCTGTTTATGAAGATAATATACATTTAAAAAATTCAAACAATGCCAAAAGTGGAAAAAAGAAATCAGAAATCACCCACGGTACAAGACAACCACCATATACATTATTCCTGATACTTTTTATATACATGTACGTATATGTAAATACAAATATATAATAAACATGCATTCAAACATAAAATACTCATGAAGTGAAAAAGGCTGGTTACAAAACAGTGATATACAAGATTTGCCAGCAAATATAGGTATACATTTAAAAACAGCTCCTATTATAAAAAGGATTCACGCTCATTTTAAAAGCAAAATGGATTTAGAAAGTTCAAAGAAGAAAGTAAAAGTCACCTGAAAGCCTGCTGAGCAGTGAGAACCACTATACAAATTTTGGTACACACCCCTTCGGACGTCTGGTCACATAGTCTGACAAAGAACATAAAACAAAAATAAAAACAAACCAAGCTGAGAAAAACAGAAAAGCCTGTGCGTTGTTTTTAGGTTTTAGAAACTGTCAGAAGCACCTTTTAAGCGACTGTAGGAGGAAAACAAACACGTACATTGCTTATCTGAAACACCAGGAGTCACACTGAGGTTTTGGTGGCTCCAGGCAGCACAGCCCCACAGTAAAACAAGGAAGAAAGAGAAAACACATAATGAACTCACTGCTGATTCACTAGCCCCCCAGGGCAGGCAGGGCCAGCAGCAGGTGGCCCTAATCCCATCAAGGCTTGAGCTGGCTGGAGGCTACACTGCAGTTTCCCCTGCCTATTTTAGTTCACCTGCCAAGTCTGCTCCTAGGTCGGAGTCCCCTCCAGGGCTCCACTGCAAGCCTGCTGACTACCGGGGCTGCTCCTCAGCAGGCTCTGCACCCCAATTTCTACCACCCCAGCCCTGAACGTATCTAAACAGTTTTGCTCAGCTTTTCTGCGTCTTGCCTTTCCCTTTCGCTCAGTGCCCTCGTCTCTCAGCCATCGCTTTCAAAGCAGCAAATGTCAGACTCCCCTCTCTGGGCTGCCCTCTCCCCAGATCATGGCTTCCCAGGTACTTTGAGCTGCCTGAGTGGTTCTCCAGTGCCTTCATGAAAGGAAAAAACTGCTTTCACAATCACTGAAAACAAAGATCCTCATTAATTTGCTAATTGTTCCATGTTCTAATGTTTCCAGGTTCCAGACAAACCAAAACTTGTATAGGAATCATGAGAAAATCCTTTATTTTAATACTTAACAGTTCACATTCAGGTTTGAATTTCACAACGAACTTAAATAGCGGGCCCCATGTGTTTGTGAATAGGTGCCAATCTGGCTGCAAATATAACTTGAGAAGGTTTATTAAAAATACAGATCCCCAAGAAAGGAGAGCAAGAATAGGAACCAGGAATCTGAATTTTCAGAAATAGCGCCACTAAACCCAAAATGCAATGAAAAAAGCTCACTGCTAGTTACTAACCCAATATTCAATTCCACTTTTTTCTCTACTAAAAACTCCAATTTTGTACAGGGCATGATATGTCCAGCTACAAACTCCATTTCCCAAATTGCCTTGCAGCAAGAGTGGCTAGTAAACATAATTTTGGCGAATAAGATGTAAGCAGAGGTCACTGGGTGGAAGCCGCTGGAAAGTTCTTAAAGGAGGATCAAACTTAGCCAGCAAGGGCCTTTTTTGCCCTTCACCCTTCCCCTTCTTCCTGCCTGGGGACTGTGGACCCCAAGTTAGAAGCGAGCGTGTATCGTGCAACTATAAGGTGATGAGAATGAGAATGGAAGTCACAACTTGAGGATGGATGGCTAAGTGCAGAGAAAGGAGGAGTGTGGATCTCTGAGGCATCATGGAGCCTCAGTACCAGACCTGGATGGATCACCTCCACACCTCTTGCTCCTTGAGAAAAATTAAAGCCCTATTTGCTTGTTACTGTAAGTTGGGTTTTCTTGCAGTTACTTGCAGCTAAATGTAATTCTAACTGATACAATAGCTGGACAATCAAAGAATGAAAAGTGAGAGTGCTCTATATAGAATGTCTACAAGAACAATGTGGAGTACCTTATGCAGACTGTATAATTATAACAAGGCCAGGTGTGGTGGCTTACACCTGTAATCCTAGCACTCTGGGAGGCTGAGGCGGGAGGATTGCTTGAGCCCAGGAGTTTGATTGCAGTAAGCTATGATTGCAGCACTGTACTCTAGCCCATGTAACAGAGTGAGACCCTGTCTCCAGAAAAAAAAAAACAACTCTGAAAATAGTTCTTAAAAATGGATCAACAGTCATTTCTAGAACTTTGAGGTTCCAAATGTTACCAGAACTCAAATTTTTAAGTGCCTAATACTAGTGTGGAAATCATAAATAACAAGCCAGAATTCAAATTAGGTGAGAATTTTCTTTGTGTCCTGTCCCCACCTGGCCTGATAATTACTACTGTCCTCAGAAGCTTCTTTCTGTGGATATCCTCTGAGGCAGATACACAAATAAAAGAAATAAGGAACAAAGTAACAATGTTTCTGCTGTTTCTTTAAATTAAATTGAAGACAGGATGCAAAGCTTTACCTCTGTTTCTGTTTCTTCTCATTGCTAGCATGCTTTGCTCTGCTCTTGACTTTATTTTCAGAGAAAAATACTATACAATGTATTTATTCATAACACAAATGAGGATAATCCAAATGTTTAATATTTAAAATTCACTTACATTGGGATAAAAAAGGGCCCGGCGGCAGGAGAATCGCTTGAGGTCAGCAGTTCCAGACCAGCCTGAGCAAGAGCGAGACACTCTGACACCCTGCCCCCCAACCGCCCCCCCCCGCCCCAACTAAAAAATAGAAAAAATTAGCCGGGCGTGGTGGCGGGCGCCTGTAGTCCCAGCTACTCGGGAGGCTGAGGCAGGAGGATCCCTTGAACCCAGGAATTGCAGGCTGCAGTGAGCTATGATGACACCACTGCACTCTAGCCGGGGTAACAGAACGAGACTGTCTCAAGAAAAAAAGGAAAAAAAAAAACCAAAAAAAAGAAGAGGGGGGGCGGCGAGCTGACCTGTTCCTTTCTGCATGCAACAAGCCATAGCTTTTCTTCTGGGAGGGGCACCCTCTCCACACCCAGGGTCAGAGAACAGCCCTTTGTCAGCAGAGACTGGAAATTGGGGGCTGCAATAGACTGAATACATATACTTAACGAAATAACCCCATCTTCCACTAGTTTTACACCTCCCACATATGTTCTAATGACACCCCTAGCAATTTAGTGCCCTTAGCCAGATTCCCATTGTCTTGTCATTTGTTTTCAAATTTATCGTTCTCTGCCCCTAAAGTATAAAGCGCCTTGCTTTGGCCACTTCTTCGGACTTCCCTCTCTTGTGAAGATCCCCATGTACGTGTAAAACTAATAAAATTTACACGCTTTTCTGCTGTTACTCTGCCTGCTGTCAACTCGGTGTCCAGATCCAGCTGAAGAGCCCACGTCAGAGCTGAAGGCGTTAGCTGTGATCCCGGCTCCCCGCCAGCCTCCGGCTCGCGTTCCTACGGAGCCCCCAGACGCGGGAAGTCGCAAGGATGAGCCTCTCCTAGACTCCGGGCAGCCCCGTCCCTCGCGGGCACCCGCTCCGGCAGCGAACCTCCCGGGAGTCTCCGGAGAAGGGGCGGCCCGGGCGGCGCGCAGGGTACGCGGCCCGGCAGGGCCCGGGCGCCGCACGCGCTTCCGGGTCGCGCGGCCGCGCCCCCGCCGAACCCGGGAAATGGGGAGGAGCCTCCAGCACCGGGCGGGGCGCGCCTAAGGCCGGTGGACCTCGCCGCTGCAGGACGCGGCCCGTTTAAGCGCGGAGGGCCTAGGTCACGTGGCGGGCGGGGGCGTGGCACCAGGAAGTGGCCTCCGCGCCGGGCCCTCAGCCGCCGCCACCGCCTCCCTGGCCGACCTCCGCGCCCCCGCGCGCCCCGCGTCGGGCGCTGCACGCCCAGCTCCACGCTGGCGGCCGCCCCCGGGGTCCCCGCCGCCGCCCCGGCGCCCGCCATGGGCGAGGAGGACTACTACTTGGAGCTGTGCGAGCGACCGGTGCAGTTCGAGAAGGCAAACCCCGTCAACTGCGTCTTCTTCGATGAGGCCAACAAGCAGGTCCGGCCGCCTCGCTCCCTGTTCCGCCGCGCGGCCCTGCTAGGGTCTTGGGCGCGCGGAGGCCGGGGGCTTGCGCGACCAGGCCCTGGCCTCCCTTTCCCTCCCTTCGTCGCTGGGTGGGCCAAGGCACGGGGCTCCATCACAGCCAGGTGACCAGGTGTCCTCGTGAATGACCATAGGGATGAACCCCTGAGCCAGCGCCACGGACTCGGTGGCCCTGTGGCCGGCGCTGTCAGCATGCCAGTTTTTTCTAGACGCCTTTTGTTGTCTTTGTCATTAATTACACTTGCAGTCAAGGATTTAGACGTGGAAATTTTCATTTTTCTTGGAATTTTGTAAAGGGGGGAAAGACTGTAATTAAGTGTGATTAACTGTAATCAGCGGCGCCAGTGCGCGAACCAGCCTTAAAACTTGGAGCCTCGGAGACCCGGACCCGGTGTTGCACCGTGGAATTGTAGTCTTTTTGGTCTCTGCTCTCTTGGTTGTTAAAAGTCATGTGAACCTTTAAGCATCTGTTCCTAAATATTGTGATGTTAGTTGAACCAAGAGTGGGTTATAGCAGAATTAAATCACTTGTAGGTTGGTATATGAGTCTAGATCCTTTCAAAATTCAGACTGTTAACATTGCTTCTTTTCCCTCTCAGGTTTTTGCTGTTCGATCTGGTGGAGCTACTGGCGTGGTAGTGAAAGGCCCAGATGATAGGAATCCTATCTCGTTTAGGTAACAGTGTAGACATTTTCAGAATAATTTCGACGTGTAAACAAATGGTGTTTTTCTGATTCAAAAGGTTGTTTTATAATTTTGTCACTGGCCTCCCCTAAGAGAACTGAAGTGTGTGTGCATACGTGGAATCCCTGTCTATAGGGAGAGGGAAGCAGATCCTGCTGGGTTGGTGGCACATACCGGTACCACCTGTCAGAGTGAAATCCTGAGCACTTCACAAGTAGGGTACCTACTTCCTGGTACTTGAAATTAGCAAGTCAGTGCATTGACGGGCCCATTTCCGGTTTGTTGAAGGAGAGCCCTCATCTTTTCCCTTGGCCTAGGTCCTTCCGAAGTGTTTGGTAGGTGGAGGAGATTCATTGTTTCTCATGTAATAATATAAGAAAATCATGGCTTCCACTATACTTAAGGTGTGTGTTCCTGTTTACAGAATTGAACCAGTGTTAATTATCAACAGCAGTCCCTTTCACTTTCAGAGTTGTCTCAGTTTGGATGCGAAACCGGCTGCTTTAGCACCTGTGATCACAGAAGGAGAAAGTACAGCATAGGTCCTCAATTCAGTGGTGACTTTAGAAAGAAATTTTGCAGTTGGCCTGTGTTAATGGGAAACTGCTTTTGAAGTAGAAAGTGGATCAACTGCTTTCTTTTGTCATCCTGTGTTCTGCAGACACTGATGGCAGCCCTGCGCTAGGCACCGACCAGGCATGTGAGGGCTTTGAATCAGCCTGGTGTTTTTTGGAGAACTCATAAATATAGTGTGGGAGACAAGTGAGTGCGCAAATAGTATTCACCATGAAGGTGTGATAATAGAGCTCTGCTCAGAATGTGGAACACAGAAGAGATGTGACATTTATCTTGGGATGGGCTAGGGAAGACCACTGCCTAGGAGGGAGAAGGCCTCAGGAGGCAACCTTCAAGCAAGGTTTTAAAGTATGAATGGGATGCAGGGAACACCAAGGGCAAAGTGAGCGAGCATGGCATTTTGGGGAACTTCTGGTCCATGTACCTGAGGGTCGGGGTGTCCGTGTAGGGAAGGAGAAATGGTGGTGATGTGGCCACTGGTAGGGGCCAATTTGAACGTTACATATTGTGCTATGGAATTGGGCTTTATCTTGTTACTGACAGTTTGTGGGGTATGGGATGATGCTGTCAGCGTTTGGAAAGGTCATGCTGTTTGCAGCATTGAGACTGGATTAGTTGGGAGCGTGTCAGAGTGAGGGTTCCCACTGAGAGACAGTAGCAGTCGTCTGAGTCAGGCGTAGTGACGACCAGAGCTGCAGTGTAGACTGGTGCCACACAGGCAGTCTAAGGATGCTTAAGAAGATCGGTCTCTGGTAAGACTTTTGAGGGTCAGTTCAGTGTGGAAAAGGAGAGCAAGCCCACGATGATCTAGATTTGGGGGCTCTGAGGAATTTGAAGGGGAAGGTACTGAACTTTTTTTTGAAACCTTTATTGAGGCATAATTGGCACACAATAAATGCACATTTTAATATGTGTAATGTGATGAGTTTTGACATATGTATACACCCGTGAAACCATCATCACAATCAAGATAATGAACGTCTTCCTACCCCTGAAAGTTTCCATGCACCTCTCTCATGCGTGCCTTGAGTTCACTTTTAATCAGCTGCTTAGTGCATTGCATGGTTGTGCAGTGGATTTTGTTGTTTGAAAAGAGGTTTTACGGGTAGCTTCGGAAACATAATTTTAATTTTAAACTAGGATTTGCTGCTTTCTGCATATTTATCTTGTCTTTTATCAACAAATGATAGTAGCTAGAATCCAGTTATTTAATTTAACTCTTAACATATGCTTTCTTCTTAAAGAATGGATGACAAAGGAGAAGTGAAGTGCATTAAATTTTCCTTAGAAAATAAGATATTGGCTGTTCAGAGGACCTCCAAGACTGTGGTAAGACTTATCTTTAAATATAGCACTAAGAAAAGATCATTAGGAGTACATTTCGAAGAGAAGGAATTGCAAAATTTCCGTGTTAAAGGCAACATTTAGTATTTTACTGTTGTGAAGGTATAGTTATGTTGCATTGTATTTGAGCCTTTGAAGATGAGAAAGATGTTTGAATGGATAAGTAAATATGACCTTAATTTGACATTTTTGACGTAAATTTTTAAAAAAGTAATTTGGAACTTCATGCAACTTTTGTAGCTAGCAATGTAGGTATGTTATGGAAGCCATATTTTTGGCTACTTTGTGAATTAGCCTTCCTCGAGTAATTCCATTTATTCACTTCTCTGATTGCTGGAAGCTAGATTCGAACAGATATGGAGAGGTGGCGCAGCCTGTTGGCCCTTCAGCCCTTGTAAATACTCAGCACTGCCATTTGTAAATTAGAGAGAAGGCTGATGGGAAAGGTAGAGTCCTGCACTTACTTCTTTCATCAGTATTGATTGCTAATATTTTGGGAAGCCTCTTATAATGTACGTTAACCCATTTTTCTGACATCAGTCATCTGAGCAATGTATTTTCAAAATCAGTTTCTAAACTCTGAATGTCTGCATTAAGTTCTTAAAAACTGAATTGTAAACTTGCTGCTACTCAAGAGGCTGATTATCCAAATTGGTCTTTTCATTGTTCCTGTCTTTGGGGTTTTGTCAGTTATTTTCTGGTCACTTTTTAAGTTTTTTTTGTCTTTTTTTTTTTTTTTTTTTTTTTTTTTTTTTTTTTTTTTTTTTTTTTTTTTTTTTTTTTTTTTTTTTTTTTTTTTTTTTTTTTATCTTATAGTATGCCAAGGTAGGTTGGCAGTATAGCTGCCCAATCCAAATTTTTCTTTCTTTTTTTTTTCCTTCAGGATTTTTGTAATTTCATCCCTGATAACTCTCAGCTGGAATACACACAGGAGTGCAAGGTACGGTGGCTGGTGCTGAGCTGTGCGTTATGTCGTGGAGAACAGGGTGTCAGGGCACCGACCTGGAATCAGACTGTGCCTTAATGCTGAGATCTGCTGGTGTTTGCTAAGTTTTGAAAGCCTGTTTTTCCACCTATAAAATGGAACTGAGGGGATTCAGTGGATGGCGACGTTAAACAGCAGCAGTGTCAGTCCTCGGTGGCTGTTGTTCTCTCTCGCCCTACCTGGTGCTTCCCCCCTGTGCGGGCGGTGCCTCCGGGCTCGGCCCTGGCTTCCTTCATTAGCCGGCTCATGCGGCAGGGAGGGAGACTTTTTTTGCCTTGATTTGTCCTTGTCATGCCCTTATTCTTTCTTCCCCCACGTGTAGATTCTAATCCACATTAATTAGATTTGCTGGGTGTAATCAACTAGGCTAGAGGGAGCTGAGCTAAAAGTGGCACCTGGACACTAACAGCTGCTAGTGGTTGGGGTGGGGCTTTCTGCATCTTTGTGACTGTTTTGCTGAGTGGAGATCAGGTGGGCTCCTCTGCAGGGAAAGGTGCATCCCTGAATCACTGACCCCTCCCAGCCCTGCAGCTGCACGGTCCTGCCTGTCCTGGACTCCTGGCCTTGCTGTTCGTAAAGTGTGTGTGTGCGCGCGCGCGGGTGGTCTCAGAGTCCCCAGCCCATGTTGGTTAACACTCACTGAAAAACTTTAGGCCTGTATACATTTATAATGACAGTTTTTATAATGTGGTCGACTGAGAAAGTCAGTTGTACTTTGATTCCTAAAAGCAGAAGTTGATGTCTGTGAGCTTTGGTCAGTTACCCTTTTATAAAACTCAGGCTTCCTCTGTTCTGTTGACCAGAAAGAACTAAGATTCAGGGTTTCTTTGTTTGTTTTATTTTGAGACAGGGTGTCATTCTGTTGCCCGGGCTAGAGTACAGTGGCGTCATCATAGCTCACTGCAACCTCAAACTCCTGGGCTTAAGCAGTCCTCCTGCCTCAGCCTCCCGAGTAGCTGGGACTGTAGTTGCATGCCATGACACCCGGCTTATTTTTCTAGTTTTAGTAGAGACGAAGTCTCGCTCTTGCCCAGGCTGGTCTCAAACTTCTGGCCTCAAGTGATCCCCGTGCCTCGGCCTCCCAGAGTGCTAGGATCACAGGCGTGAGCCACCGCGCCCGGCCAGATTCAGGTTTTTTTTTTTTTTTTGAGACAGAGTCTCACTCTTTTGCCCAGGCTAGAGTGCTGTGGCATCATCCTAGCTCACAGCAACCTCAAACTCCTGGGCTCAAGCGATCCTACTGCCTCAGCCTCCCAAGTAGCTGGGAC